ATCAAGCCAAGACCACCTTCTAGAACTCAAAGAGGGTCCCAAGTAACCTCAGCCCAAAGATAAACAACTTTGGCTAAGGGTTGATAGGGAAACTTGAAGTGTATGTAGGCTAATTTGCACAAACTTGCAAGAGAGAGAAAGAAATGTAGGAATAAAGAGTTGTAGAGAGAGAGACTCCCAAAATTTTTCTAACCTTGAAAACCATAGAGAATGTCCTCTATATATAGAAATATATGGCTTCAGGTCGAAAATATCAACAAATGGACAGCTGGAGCTAAGGGTGTGCGCGGTGCGGTTCGGACGGTTTGAGAGTAAAATTAAAAATCGAATGGCGGGTTAGCAGATTAGCGGGTTGACAAATTGCGGTTTGGGCGGTTTGGGCGGTTTTTGACGGATTAGCGGATTGAAAATATTCTAACTAATTATCATATATTTGCATAATATATAACACTAATTTGTATTATATTTTTTAGATATATAACACAAAGTAATTTTACATAATATGTTTCATATATATAACCACTAATTTGTAAAAAAATTCATCTCTTAAATCTCTTTCACACTCATTTTTACATTAATATTTCATTGGAAGTTTAAAAATATATATGTATTAACTATAGCGGAGCAGAGCGGTTTGGTTGGCGAATTATAAATTTTAAAGTTTAAACCGCGGTTAGCGAATAGAGCGGTGTGAATTAATGAAAATCGGTGCGGTTTTAACGGATTGGGCGGTATTTTGCACAGCCCTAACTGGAGCAGTGTAGAGATAGCTAGAGGTAAATATCTGCAAAAAATCTAATTTTTGACACCAATGGCGGGCAAACCTCATCAATGACCGGCACATGGCCGGAAAACCTCCCCCATGGCCGGCACATGGCCGACAAACCTCATTCAGTAGCTAGCCAGAAAATCTGCTTTTTGGGACTGACTTCAAATAGGCATATGTCCTTCATCCGGACTCCTTTGTAGGTCATTCTTGAGTCTAAATTGAAGCTTCGGAAGTCTACTTTCCAATGGTGCAGCCTCACATAAAAATTCCAAGTGCGCAAAAAGATATGCAAATTTTAGTGAAGACTACTCAGTTTTGGTCCTAACCGGATTGATGCCTAACTTCTCCTCAACTAGTTTTCTTCCCTCCCTTCCTATTTTCTTCAATTCCAAACCTCTAAATAAGGTGTTTTGAAAGATTTTTTAAAGAGTTCACCTCTCTTTCATTTATTTTTATTTTGTCCTTGCTCAGTTTACCGAAAAGCGCAACATTTAACGAAATGCAAGCCTTGGAACATCGTACAGATATTTGGCAAAAAAAATTTGAAAGAGAGGGTTTTAAGGTCTAAAATAATTTTGGTCAAAAATAGCTTTGGTCCTAAAAATGGGGTGTAAGGTTGGGATTTGGAGCTCTTCTTGCCGAAGAAATCGAACCTTTACACAACATAGTCATCATCCTCGAGCAATCAACCTGAGGCCCCCAAGTCTTAAAGGCGGTCAAAAATGGGGTGTCTACAGTAGAACATTTAGAAATTTTATTTTTTACGATGATTATTTCTTATTCATTAAGTTTTTAAAATATATTTAATTATTTCCCTTTCAAAAATCAATATGACAAATTTTTAAAATTCATATATTTTTATTCTAAAATAGTGAAATATTATAACTATGTCATTTTTTTTTATAACAAATCATAATTTTAATTATTAATTGTCAATACAACAATTTTAATTTATCTATACTATATGTTATAGTAAAGGAATATTTGAAACAAAACACTTAAACTTATATATAAAATTTTATTTACAAGAGACAAAATATAAAAAATTTAAATATAATTATCGTATTTTTAATAAATTATATATTATTTTATCCGTTGCATAGCACGGGTGATATGGTAGTTCTATCACAACGCAATTCATGTTATCTCTATATGTAAATCATTTATTTTGTAAAATTTATTGAACAAATCATGCGTGTAAACAATTAAATTAATCGAGTATTGGTAGATGATAAAATCGTATTGTTATTATATAATATAAGTAAAAGTGTTGTAGCCTCTTTGAAGTTGAAAGGCTCACTCTAATTTTTTCAATTTTTCTAAATTTTATAACACTTAAAATACACATGTCATTTTATGATTAGCTGAAAATATAATTTATATAAATTAAAGTAATTTTTAAATCCTCTAAATCATTACCAAAATTTATTAGTATTACTTCCTTAAATTTTGTGATTATTATTCCTAGAATTACCTTATTCTAATTGGAATCATAATCTATATGATTGTACATACCAAACTTCAAAGACTTCTATAATTATATTTAAAAAGTTTAGGAAATATAACAATGAGAAGAGAGCTGCATATTAGGTCCTCAATTTTTTTTTTTTTTTTCTTCTTTAATACACGATCACAACATAACTCTTTAAGTCTATGAGGAAAAAAATAGAAATACAAAAAGAATTATTCAGAGACTTTAGCATGAAAAACAAGCGAATTGTGCAAATTAAATTATGAATATGATCCACATATTTTAAATGACACATGGATATTCATATTCTCTATATAATATGAGTATGTGAACATTCACGTCATCACGTACAATCAACACTTGGATGCATGAGAACTACCAAAACACAATGACAATCAATAAATAACCGTATTTAATTTTTTGTGTGTAATATATATCAACATTAAATAGTGGTGTGTAGTTAATGCATTTTTTTAGAGTGAAGATATGGGGAATAAGAATAGTCATGGAAACTATCAAAACATAATAACAATCAACATTAATGGGGGCATGAGAGATTGAGGGTGTTTTGGTCTTCTTACCTCAAATAAGACAATGGAAGAGTTAAAAAAAAATATATAGATTGGATAGAATAAAACTCTTAGAAATGGGATTCATCATAAAAGCTCCTCTCTTTTTTTTTTGTCATCTTTTTTTTTTTTTTTTGTAAAAAATGCGATAAATTGAACTAGTTACAGTTATCGGATCAACCTAATTTTTTGTGTGAATGAAATACACAAAATACCTTACAAAATGAACGGTTTGGATTATCAAAACGGAACTCGTGGTGGGCCCCAAGAGCCAGAACAACCCTATCCATTCCAAAACAGTGACTGAAGGGGATCCTCCTCCTTTTAATTATAAAACGTTAATCAAAATAAATTTTCACATATCTATTGTAAATATACTGAAATATGATATGTAATAATATTACAAAGTAATTCAAACTAGTTAAATTGCACAACAATTGTAAATAATATTTCAAAGTAATTCAAACTAGCCAAATTTTCACATATCTATTGTAAATATAATGAAATATGATATGTAATAATATTACAAAGTAATTCAAACTAGTCAAATTGCACAACAATACTCAGGTATACTAATATACTATTTCTTCAATAAAATTAAAGACAATGAGATTACAATTTTCAATCAATCTAATACTAATATACTATTTCTTCAATAAAATTAAAGACAATGAGATTACAATTTTCAATCAATCTAATAGAGACCAGACAAAATGATTCTTCTTGAGAAACAAAAAATAAAAATATATATCTTTGTAAGGAATGAAAATTTTTGTGCTTTAAAAAAAAAGTTTGTTTTTCTTTTTTTTCTTTCTTTCTTTTTTTATATATAAAATTTTTATACCAAAAAAAAAATAACAAAATTGATGTCGTAAATAAAAAACATCTTCATGGGTGTTTTATTTTAAAATAAAATGCCCATATTAAATTACAACATTTTATACAAAAATTATGTATGAGTTTTTATATCATTATTAAAAAAAATAATATCATGATATTTATTATGTTAACAAAGCTATTGGGTAGCTCGAACATTCCCTGGCCCGAATGGCTCGAGGTGCCAAAACGACGTCGTTTTGGCACTTCTTTTTTTTTTTCCCTTTCTTTTCTTCTTCCTTCACTCGCAGAAGTAGCAAGAAGAAAAAAGAAGCAAAAGGAAGAAGAAGAAAGAAGCAGATGAGAGGAAAGAGAGAGAAAAAGCCAAATCTAGAAAATCAAAGCCAAATCTTGAATGAAAACCGAAGCCAAATTCATGAAACAAACCAAACCCAAATCCACGAAACAAATCAAATCTCATCCCATTAATAGTTGCAAAGATAAAGAGAGAGACCTCAGATCCACTAGAAAAAAACAAAACAAAAAAAAAAAAAAAAAAAAAAAAGACTATTTTGCAGAACAAAGAAACAGTTGGGCTGGTTTGATTTGTTTGTTTAATGATAAAATGGTGTGATTAAAGAGAAAATGTGAAATCACAATTTAAAAAGAGATGTTATGTGCAGTTGTGATAGTTTGATTCTCTCTGTCCTTCTCTCTCTCTCTCCTCTATTTAAAATCCATTAACAATTGCAAAGATAGTTAAAAATAATACTTGAATAATGACAACATAGCCAATCAGCCGGCCAAAAAACCATTCGGCCATCCAAGTTTTTTAACATTTATTTGATTGGAGAATTGGCAATTCATGGTCATAGACACCAAGCACTTAGCTTTTTAGGAAAATGAGATTCACTGATATATATATATATATATATACGCAGTTCATAGGCATGGTTGTGGACACCAATACCAATAGTGACCCACAATCACAGCCACAAATCAAAATCAAAATCCAAATCAGACAAAATCAAACAAAATCAGTTCAAAATCAAACCTAAATCTGTTGAATGAGAGTGTTTGAATTCTTTTTTGTTTCGAAGAATAGAGATAGAGAGGAAACAAATAGAGAGGAGAGAAAAAATTTCACTTTTCGAGCCACTCGAGCCTCAAGAATTTGAGCTACGGTGCATTTCTGTTATGCTAATAAGGTTACACTCCCCATATTTATACATAATATCTAATATGTGATATATACAATGATTATTGTAATGATATCCATAAATCTCATTCATATTCATATTCATATTTAATCATTAATAGTTATGTGTGCTAAACAAAAAAAATAGTATAAAACTATGATAAAACATAAAATTAATTATTTTTTAAACTCTTTTTTTTTTTTTTTGATATATATATTTTTTTGAACAATTTTAATAGTGTCAATTTATGACAACCTCCCAAAAATTTTATATAATACTACATAATTCTAAAAAAATAATTCAAAGTTGAGTGGTTTCAATTGAACCCACTATTCTATGCAAAGCTCCGCCCATGCCTATGACAATTCCAAAATTTAACAGTTCCCCTTGTGGAAAATATGGTGGGAACTCTAAACAGACGGTTCTCTCAATGCTGTGGGCAAGTCCAATTCAGGCTCAGATTCATCGAGGGGAGCGAAATAGTAGTCAACAATGTCCTTAGTCACTTCTCCTAAACTTGAAGGCTCCCACTGCAAATTTATAATTATAAACCGATCAGCGACTTATTTTGAAAGAAATTGAACATTAAATTCGAAGTAGATGGTGCAATGAAGATAAAGATTATGAGGGTACCTTTGGAGCAAAATCCTTATCAACCAGTCGTGCACGAACACCCTGTACAAGTTGATGGAAACAGACATGAATCTACTGCCTTGTTCGGGAAGAACTAAATAAGCAGTTTTTGGGCAAAAAAAAGTAAAAACAAGTTTGTTTGTTTGCCCCGCCTCCCGCCCCCCCCCCCCACCCCCCCGCCACTTGCCACCACTTTCCATCACCGTCTTCTGCCACCATCACCCACCACCTGCCATCATTTTCCACCACCGTCTTCCGCCACCACCACTCGTTATCATTTTCCACCGTCGTTTTCCGCCGCCACCACTCGTCACCATCCACCACCCGCCACCATTTGCCATTTCTCACTTTTTTTTATATTTTTAAATTTTTTTAAACATTTTGTCTAAACTAAACGCGCTTGTAGTTTATGTTTTTCTAAAAATAAACAAAAACCAATTTATAAATTTTTTGTAAATATAAACTGAAAACGTAAACGTTACCAAACAGGCCCTAAATAAGCAGTTTTTGGGCAAAAAAAGCAAAAACAAGTTTGTTTGTTTGTGATGCCTTCTCCATATAAAAAGAAAAACAGGGGAAAAAAGGGTTATTTTTAGCAATTATCAAACACATCACTTTTTTTATTTTTAAATTCTAGAAAAGCAAAATAACTACTAAAAAAAGTAATTGGAAAACCACACCTAAGAAGGAAGTGTCCAAAGTGTAATCTAAATAAGACTTCACAAAAACCCATACCTCACAGAAATCATTAGAGACCTGTTTGGTGATCCAATTCAAGGACAAACAATACTCACGAACAAGACAACGGTCCAGAGATTGAAACCTACCTTCTCGTATCTAATTGCAGAAGAGAAACTGTAAGTCAAATATTAGGTAAAAAGAAGCAATCCAAGCAGAATCCATCGTAATGCAAGGATTAGGAACTCACAGATTGTAAAGTGACTTTTAAACTCAACGGGGATGCCTCTTTCAGTTTCTTAAGGGCTGTTGTACTCCATTCATCATAAGACTCTGCCGCCTCATTTTCCTACACAAATGAATCACAAATTACTGTCATCTTCCCAAAAATAATTCTAACAAAAAAAAAAATTTAAATGACTCTTAAAAATAACATCCATTACGTAGCCCTTTGCGTGTGTGCAGATGTGGATGTCTGTATGTAAGAAAAAGAGACTGCATCTCTTGTCCGAATATATCTAATCCTATTTTACATAGACTTTTCTAAATGTGTAAAAACAATACCCATATCGGACAGTTGACACATGGAGTATAAGATGTGTCTGACAAACATGTCTGACACCTTATAAATACTATTTTATCCTATAAAATAAAATATGAATATTTGTCATATCTCGTGTCCTTGAACATAGGAATTACATGAATATGACACTTGGACATATATAGTTGCACCTAACACCTGTACCCAAGTCCATGTAATATAGCATGGATTACAAGTCTTATATTTTCAATCAAACTAAAACGAAAAAAGAAAGTAATATAATATCAAGCTTACCAGCGCATCAATAATTTCTTCAACAGTATCTTGGCTGAAACATTTATCAACTGCTTCAATCCTGAGCCAAAAAAGGGGAGGGGAAAAGGATAGAAACAAACTAAGCTGGGAGTATGGACCAAGATAAAAGATAAGCAAATAGTAACCAACGGAATTTTTTTTTGAAAGTTTGGGTTTCCCCAATATTTGTGAATTTTAAGAGACAAATTCAAAAGCAATATAGAGATAAAAATAGAAACAAAAGATGGAAGAACCAAGAAAATATAAGATCGAACATTACTTATGGAGAATACTCCTCTTATTGGGGTAGACAAGGTCACCATATTGTGCAAGAGAATCTTCAATGACAGAAGGATCATCTGTGATCAATTTACCGAGGCGTTCTTCAACCGAAGCAAGTCTCTGTTACGAAGAGTGAATTACTAAAAGCTACTTACACATTGAAATAAAGCATGAATACACTCACTGAAGAAAAAAGGAACTAAGAACAAAGAACAAACTGCATTCAGTGAATAATGTGTAGCAAGGCCACAGGCAATCATTTCCACTCCATTAAGTTTTTCCCCTGTTAGAGCCAAGTATTCCCCTGTAAAGGGAAAAAAATGAAAGGATTTTAAATTTTGCAAATAATTTTCTGCATTTATATAAGAAAGAATTTAACTCAACTTGGCAATCTATAATAAAAATTACCTACATATATATACAAGAGATATATACACATGTATAAAAAGATATTATAATATCAAGGAAAAGAAATCTGTATAATAAAAAGCTGGAAATAGTTCTCAGAATCATGATTTAAGAGTATTTTTATAAATAGCAAAAGTAACAGTTTTTCAAGCCTAATCCTTAAAAATGTTCATATATAGGATTCACATACAAATCATAACACTAAGGTATTGCTAGAAATAAGAGGGTGCATCTTTCCAACACAAGACAATTTCACAAGACATAGCTGCAACCAAATATTGGGTATAATAACCAATTTAAACCTAAGTGACAAGGAAGCATTCTATTATTTTATATTATGAGGTGAAGCATGTAAGAAAGAATCACAAAGGTGCAACGTGTCAAAGAACTTGTCTGTTCATGATGTTACCTAAATAACCAGGTAGACGGGAGAGATAGTAGGAGGCCCCTGCATCAGGATGGAAACCCATTTGGGCTTCTGGAGTAGCAAAGACCTGCAATTCAATTAGACAATGTTAAGAATAACAAAACCATTAACAAGTGTGGTGGAAATGTGGACATTGAGATGCACGTGTAAAAATGTAAAAAATAAACATTAGACAATGAAAGTGGCAATAATTTGAGAAGAAAGAAAGAACACTATCCAAAGCAAAGAACTTTACTAGTAAAGAATAGTGAAGATAATAGTCCAAATTGAGGAATATGTTACAGGTGAGAGAAACACCAAAACTAAAGTGGAGTTACGAAAGACATGGCAGCATGTTGCCTACACAAAGCAAAATCAGGAAATAGGATTCATTTGAACAATCCAAAATGTTACAATAAGGCACTGTTGAGTTGAGTCGAGTTTATTGTAATGACTAAATCCTCAACAAAATTCTATTATTCCATATAATTATAAGACACAATTTTTAAATTAAACTATTGCTAGCCATGATAAGTGCATAGCAAGGTTATCTGATAGAATGCAAGTTATAATGCATAATGACAAAATTATTTTCATTTGAATTTTTTGATATTCAATGCTCATGTCATTAAAATTTCAACTTCAGCTAAAGATCACATCAGCAATATTTGATAAAATCAATTGCATCTAGTAGTTTGTGTTAGTGGACAAACGGTTTTATCAGTCACCACACAGAACATTCCAGGAAGAGAAACGTATACAATATTAATCTCACATGTGGCTTCAGATATGTTCCTAAAAGGTACACGAACTTATACAATCTTTGGAGAAAAAAAAAATTTACATTCTTCAACCTTCCCTGCACATAATTAGAAGTTGGGAGCACTATCAGAGCCAACACCATCGAATGCTTGATTTTACAGATAATAACAATTCTATTATAAACCATAATAATTATATGTTATGGAGAACCCACATGCTTGCCCTAATTGAAAGCCAAGATATGCAAGTCGTGCTATCATTGTGTGATTAAAAAGGCTGTCCCTGTAGGACGAAGGGAAGTTGAAAATCCAACTTTTATAGCATGGACATGGTCTGGTGGTTTCCATCATAACTGGATCACCGAAACCTCATCAGATGAGGTTACTTAGCTGGTAGTCGGACTTGCCACTTCTCGTGAAGATTGGAGAGGCTAAAAAGATGTGTATGGACAAAGCTGTGAAAGAGAGAATTCCAATTAATGCAGCAAACATCCCTTCTTCATAACGGTACAAACGTTACAAACGAATACATTAGGAAGTTCAAGGCCATGTCCATAATATGACAATTTTGTAACCACAATGCTCAAACCTCCTATTCTTATCATGATATTATTCCTCTTCTCTAGAGACATAAAGCTTGTACTAAACTTCATGGTCCAAGTCTACCTCAAACAGTTTTATGGATCAAAAAGCCTAATTGTGGTCAAAATCACAGAAAGAATAACACACAAAATGGATTTGATTCTAAATGAAAAGGCTTTATTCAAAATGGAAATATTAGTAGGCACAGAACTAGTAGTGACAGTACTGACAGATATAGAACTAGGGGCACGTGGCTTTCAGTCTACTGGAGGAAATCATCTAAAAGCCCTAGCAAACCAAGGAGGTAACTCGAGCCAATCTAATAATTGTCAATCATGGTAGAAAAGATGCCTTAGTATGTCAGATTTTTCATAAGAGTAATCATACAGCATTAAAGGTGTCTTAGCCACTTCAACCATTCTAACCAAGTTGAAGAAATTCCTTAAGCCTTTGGTGCCATGATAATTGATGACAACAAAAATCAGCTTGGGTGTTCAAAACATGAAAACAAGAATCAGCTTGGATCCCTTAAATCTTTAATTTTATATTAAAATCTACCTTTTGTAAGTTTTTTTAATAAACAAACCACTAGAAGGGGGCAAACCTATACAGAGCACCTAAAAGTGTGAACCCTGTACAGTCAAAATTCTTTACAAGGCATCAGAAAGAGCAAAACCCTATACACCGAAAACCCTGGATCCTATCAGTTACACATGATAAGCCAATGCATTTCTCCTTTGAACTAAACAAAGACAAAACAAAATGAACAATCCTCTCCCAACCAAACAAGAGCGAAGATCCTTTCAAAACAATGGATGGGTAATTCAACAATCTCAAAAGCCCTTCAATTTTGTTCCCTCCATACTGTCCACAAAACACCCAATGCTGCAGCCTTACCCTCCTTCCTCTCTTCTTTCTTCAATTCAAACCTAGGAAACATAGATACGGATACGACACAATACGGATACGGCGATACGACAAAACTTTAAAAAATTGGATATCGGTACGGCTAGGACACGTTTGTGAAAAATATATTTTTTAAAATTATTAATAGTGAATTACACATAAGCTAAAGAACGTTGAAAAATCACAATGTAATTTTATAATGCAAAATATTAACCTTTAAGAATTTTGTATTAATTTAAACTAGTAGCTTGTTTACTTCTTAAATTTTTAATAGGTCTTGCAAATAACTCATTTCAATATCAAGTTTAATATATTTATATTACAATAATAGAACAATCCACAACTTGTCTTTATACTTTTTCCTTTGACACTAGTGAAAAATATTGTATTCAAGTTTACTTGCTTATTTATTTATTAATTGATAATTAATTTTACCATTGTTATATTCTCTTGTCAATTCTTACTTTCTATATAGTTATAGAGAACGTGCATGAAATAATCAGGATACATCAATTTGACAAATTCTATTATTTATCTCACTATACTCTTCTTATCGAAAAACTTAACAAAGTATTAGAAAAATATTCTTATATTTATACTTGCAATTATATTATATTATATTACTATGTAAGAAATGTTACAATTTTAATTTCATAAAACAAGTAAACATGACTTGGAGTATCAGATACTCCAAAATTAATGAAAAAATAATTAAGAAGTATTCGATACTTTTAATAAGTATCCGATATCTATCCGTGAGTATTTAAGGAGTATCGGTATTCGATACGGATATAATACGGATACGTCACCATATTTGAAGTATCCGTGCTTCAAAGATTCAAACAATCTACCATGAAATCTATAACTAAAAGAGTACCTAAATTAATCATTCTCAGCTTGATACCTTAAAACCAAAAGTCTTCAATGCTGAATCCAGAACAAAGAATGAAAAAAATGAAAAGGGTACCCACCTTCATTAAGCAACTGATAAAGGGTAACAACATCTGCGCCGGAACAGAAAGCCCTCCCATTACCCTTCAAAATTAAAGATTGTAGATTAGAATCCAAACACAATTATACTTGAATTAGATCAAAAGAGTTAGACAAACAAGGTTTTACCTTCATTATCACAGAACCAATATCTGGGTTTTCTTCCCATGACTCATATAGTCTTTTTAACCGACCCGCCTACATTCATATATTTTCATACAAGGGTATGAAGCATAAACTAATAAAATTTATCAGAAGAAACCCCCCCAAAAGAGAAAAAAGACAAACCATAGAAGTAGTGAGAGAATTGAGTGAAGATGGTCTATTGAGAATAGCAGCTCTTGAATTAGCTCTTCCTTCAACTAAAACCTAAAAGTACAGATACAAGAAATGAAATTTTATCCAAAGACTATATGGGTTTCCTCCAAGATCAATTTTTTATGAGTGAGAGAGAGCGAGAGAGAGAGAGATTTCATGAGGAACTGGCCTGGTTTTGAATATCATCGTATTGGGCATAGCTGGGTTGAGCGGAAAAGCCATGTCTGTGATGGCAGAGAAAGCTATGTCTCTGCAACGAACGCCTCACTGGTAATAGGACTTTTAACTTCTGCATCGTCAATCTCTCTCTCTCTCTCACTCTCTCTCTCTAAAACCCACTGTGTTGCGGCTCCTGCACTGTGTTTGGGGGAACTTTGTTTGCAGTGGGAAATTTCTCTTGATTTACAATGTCACCCCCTGAGTTTCTCAAAATAGCACTTTTTAGAATTTAAAAATTTTCACGTATAGATTTTGTACTTTTTTATTTATTTATTTTTTATAACAAATCCACTCTATAATACAGTAATCACTCATAAATTATGTGTAAGTTGCCAGTATTTTTGCACCTTGTGAGAGTCCAACATTAAACATTTGAAAATTATTATATAATAATATTAGAGCTTTGATTTTTCAACACTGAACTATTGATTTTATTTATTTTGGCCAATACATCAATTTATATTTAACCTTTCAAAAATCGTTCGTAATTACCATAGCAAACATTAAAACAAAAAGAAATTGCGACTGTAATTAGTTGACAATGGAGACCAATGATGTTTTTAAATAAAAAAGATGGGGTAATAATGCTATTTTAGAAAAATCTAAGAAGTGTGGGTGTCATGTATCCTTGTGTGTACTGTAAAACAAATGAAGTACTCAAGTTCAAACAATTGCATTCGATTGCTAAAAATTTGCTTGACATTTCACTCATTTTGCAGATAAATCAAGCTTGAACACCATCTAAAGCTTGTTAATATTCAAACACTCTCAATAATCATATATGCACTATAGAACTATAAAACAAAAACGACCCTACTCTAACTCAGTAAAAGAAAACTTGAAAACATCTTTTAAAATTGTTAAATTTCAAAACAATCAACTGATCGGCTCAACTAAAATCATTTATTGTCCCATACATATAAATAGTGAGACCAGATAGAGTGTTATGAATTGTTGAAATTGCTTCATTTTCCTCTTGATAAATTACAGAGTGAAAGTTGTTTTTCTGTGACGAGCTCAGATATGGTTGACTTCTGTGGTAAAAAAAAACAGCCACAGAGCACATAAAATCAGAATAAAAAACTTAAATCCTTCCCAGAGAAGAAATTCAAATCCTCATCAGCTTGAATAAGCATGGCCTTCCTCTAACGGCTCAACTGGAACAGTGTAGGGAGAATTCCAATCAGCATCAAAAATTTCTTGAAGTTGCAAAACAATGCCGGGATGAAAAGTCCCAAAGCTGACACCAGATGTCGTATAGAAGTAATCCCATATAAGATTGCTAGTCCCGATATGGGCTCGCACATTACTTACTACATATTTTCCATGGTTGACCCTGGAATAACCCGGGTATGCATTTCCTGTTCTTGTCCCATTCTGAATGGCAGGTCCAGTCAAGTTAAATCCAGGCACGACATAGTACCTGATCTCAATTTGGCCGGAACATTTGTTGTACTTTGAAGAAGAGCATAGGGCATTGGAGTAGAGAAGAGACTTCAAGTACTGATCTGTGCCGTTGATGTAGTGTGTCCAGTATGCTACTAGGATCTTGACCTTTGCATGCTTGGAGAAGAGAACCTAGTATTCAAAAACATGAATATAAAACAATCTTCTAGGTTTCAAATGGATGCATAAAAGGTGAAGATAGAGGCACAAAGAGAGTCCAGAGTCATTTTTCTCGCCTGGGACAAATTGATAAAATCATTTAAGTTGTGTTCTGTGAATTATTTGAAATGAGTCAAATTAGGTTATCAAAGAGGTTGATGTAAGCATATTCTTTGCATGTGTAAGAACATTTCGAGACTTCGCGAAATGCCTATTTCTGAATTTCACATCTGATGGCACCATTTGACTATTGCTGAAGGCTTGCTGTTCGCATTCTGATGGCACAGGGTAGAGTCATGGAAACCACCTCTCCAAAAATAGAGGTAAGACTCTGTACATCATGCCCTCTCCAGGCCTCGCTTTAGTGGGAGCCTCGTGCATTGGGTCACCTTTTTTTCTATTCATTCACTTTTATAGTTTTGTTTGATCTCAAAATAAAAGGCTATGACTTGGGATGACAAATGCCCAAGTGCCCCAACATTGTGGCCGGGGTTGAAGTCATGAGAATCCCCCTCTTCACCAAAAAAATGGGGTAAAGCTGCCAAATCTTTTAGACGCTAAAAGGGGAGATTTGTGTACGAGCTTGTGGCAGTTTTCTTCATCGACTACTATGTATACTAACTAATTTTTTGTATTTTATTTTTTATAGTTTGCACAGTAACATTATAAATCATGCTTCATTTAACAATAAACGTAGTCAACAAAAATGGGAAAATGACAAGAAAGTTCGGATTATATGATGTGTTTGTGCATAACTACTTATGAATGCGAGTAGCACACATTCCATAAAGAAAGCACACTGGTTATGGGAAAGAACTTGGCAATCATTATTCAGAATATTGATATGAGTTACAAAAGGATCCAGAATTATGTTCACTTAATTGCACCAAATAATTTCAAGGTAAATAACACTCCAAACAAACTTTATAAACAATAGACAATGAGCTCATAAGAAATGAAAAAGACATGTCAAGATCTATAATAATAATAATAATAAATCCAAGTAGAATAAACATATCAGCTACATGCATAATGTGCAAGGTGTGAGCAAGAGACAGAATAAACAATTTGAGGACAAACTTTTTTCAACTCACCTCTGATATTGCTGAGGAAAGGGATGACCAATAAACTGTTTGTGTCAAGTATTGGGATTGGCCAAGCCAATCCATAGTGTTTATTCTAACAGTTTCTCCAACTCCTGCAGATTTAATTGTGTCAACCCATGCCTGTTCATCTGCCTGGTACTTGCCGAATAACAGCTGCAGTTCAGAAACTACATCAAAAACAATGAAGTATATAGACCACATTACACAAGCTGAGCATACAAGCCATCATTTATCAAAAATCAGAAGTACTATTATTGAAAGAAAAAAAATGATTTTTCCTTTGACAGAAAGAGGGTACTTCAAGCTCTAAACCCTAAAATTTTTATTGTTAAGTTTAGTTAGAACTTTGAAGATAGCTAAAAATTTGTTGACAACAAAATTATTCTGTTTTCTTCTGCCACAAAATTTGAAAATGACTTCAATTTTTTTCCCTGACATATTTAAGACAAGTTTACAGGGTATGCAAAGAATCATAATACAGATCGAAGGAAGCCACTGTAATTTCATATCAACAAATGATAATAATAAATCTATTCTAAAGATGAGTTAATGACAAAAAAATGAACTAGTCGTTTCTGAAACTCCCTTTATTTGTTGCAAAAAAAACCAAAAAAAACCAAAAAAAAAACAAAATCAAAATTTATACACAAACCAAACAAAATACATGGCATTGAAAACTGACCTCTGGTGGAGCAAACGAGAGATAGTTGGATTGAGGCTGCAAAGTTGAATAGTTGAGTCCGGGAGTTTGAATTGGCATTTGAAACATATAAGGGTCTGACAGTACTGGATAGCCCGCTACATGGGGAACCTCCACAAAATAAGGGAGAGGTGATCTGCCATGGCATAACTCGATACCGTTAACAATGTAGACAAAGCTGCAAGTTCATTCTTTATTTGCTCCCAAGAAGACAAAAGAAAGAAAAGGTTTCAGAGATCTTAAAAACCATATGAATGCTAAGGTTGTAGTACGCGTGATAATGTTTGTGAGATATTCCTGATAACTGATATGCAAGACTGTTTTGAGATATAATTTCCATTATAATTGAAGCATTTCAACAGTTAATCCAATTGATAACTTACAAACTAACAGTAACTTCAGTAAGTTAACAGACACCATTAACTTGATTCCCAAAAAACAATAGTTTGTTGTAGAGAGATCCAACACAAAAAAACATGCCGAATTGCCGGTATAAAAAAAAGATTTAACACCATTTCAGGCAATATAAAAGATTCCTAACAATCATGTAAGTTGTTCACAAACAGACTACCATAAGTTGCATGAATTAGATGTAAAAAATAGTAAATACTTTTTAGCTAATATCATCTCTTGGAAAGGAAAATCTTATTCATATGAAGTTTCCAACAAAATTCATATCAATTTGTTATGTTACTACAGTTGGCACGTCAGCTGTTAAATGGAGAAGTTCTGCTATTTTAATAGTTACAAGTCATATTCTGCACCCCAAAACAAAAACAAAAAAAACTCGCCAATCCAACAAGTTAACTCAAAGATTTTCTCTATCCAAACATGACAAAATAATTCAATCAGCGTGAGCACTATTTGCATAATGATACAAATTGAGCATGTTCCATGTGCCATACCTGCATCTTTCTTTGGAAGGGATAAAATGAGACCAACACGGAACTTTTCTGGTGACCTGCCACTGCTGATCCCATATTGTTTTTGTGTAAGCTGAAACATTTAGAGATGCAAGTTTCCACAAGTTGTCATAGTAGACCTCAACCTTATTAGCTACTGTTGGACAACCAACAAGATATATTCCAACTTCCTTAACCTATAAACATTGGACAATCAGGAACCTTTAATCAATTAACAAACAAGTATCTATATTTTCCATGTTAAAGCCTTCCGAACAAAAAGAATGCATAACTGCATACAGGAGTAGATGTCTGACAATTCTTTTGGAAATTGGAATTATAAAGGCAAGGGAAAATATTATTCAGTTAAATGTGGTTCTTTTCTTTATGCTGGATTGCATCTGAATAGGGACTGACAGTAGGAACAGATCCTGCTTCCAGCCCCAATCCATGGCGCCTAGTTGGAATATCTTTATTCCTGCTAAGTTTCAGGCATTCCTATGCAGGATGGAGACAGCTGAGCATTTGTCTTCACACTGCCATACATAGCCACAGGTATGTGGTTTGTTTGGTTCATCTGTCTCTTAAAGTGCCAGACTATTCTATTGCTGCACAAAAAAAGAAAAAAAAATGTACACCCTGTTTAGTCCCCCATTGTATAGAGGTTTGAGAGGGGTGGGTTGGGTACAGATCTAACCTTTGGCTTTATTTCCACAGAGTGGCTGTCTTAGGTTCGAACCCCCATCCTCAAGGTTAATAATCTAAATTCTAACCGCTGAACCAGTTGCCCACAGTTACTCCCATTTATCTCTACTCTACTCTACTCTGTCTATGAAGGCTATGAAGGAATTCGTTCATAGAATGCTTTTTGATTGCACTACTTTTTGAAAACACTGCAGGTGGGGGTAGACTATTGTCGTATGCTTGTGAAATACAATTGGAGGAACCACCTCTAACATGTTGATGCAGGTGTTGGATTCAGAAGAAAAACATGATTGTGCCTTCTCTTGTAGGATTAAACTGCATGTGTCATGTTACCTGAGTGAGAGATTTCCAGTCATTATTCGCAGATCCTATATAAACATCTCGATGATCTGATATCCAGACTTTTGCATGGACTATGCCTGATCCCCACCATTCACTAAGCAGTAATGTGACATTCTTTACATTTGGCCTCCCCGAAGCAAGGTTTGATGGTTCTTCAGTATAATCAGGATATACACCAGAGTGCTGTAAAAACCTGAAATAAATTCATTTTTTCAAGAAATGGAAAACGGTTAGCTTAGGCTTGCAAGGCAGGAAATATTATTACTCTTTTATGGCCAAATTCAGAAGCAATGAACTAACTTGGCTACAATTGATTTTATAAAAAAGGATAACATGCAAACAAATAAGTTATTTACACAACCTGTTAAACTTCAACTGTGATGTCATCCCCAATTTTTTGGGAATAATTTTGCAGGGAACTCCCAATTTTAAGGTTTCATGCATATTGGTATCAAAATAACACCAGTAATTTCAATAATAGAAAGGGGCTAACACCTTTATATTGTTAATAGAAGATAGTGTTATAACAATGTAAAACATACATTCAAGCTACCATACGTGTACCTGATACTAACATTGCGATCGGCAGCATTTTCTATTGCTTTATAGACACCAAAGCCTTCATTAGCACCAAACCTTAGCATATCAGTTTTCGAGTATCCATAATCCCCGGAACGAGGATCATCAGAACCTGCTACTAACTGCCAATATTGTGCTAATATGTCCAGCCTCTTGGAAGAATTTCCAGCCAACCAACGAAAAACATCCGCTAATAATCATCACGAGAAAATAAGTCCCCAATTTTTTATTTTTGGCATTAGTTAGGCTGTGTTTGGTTATAGTTTCACACCTTTTCCCTTCCCCCACCCCCCCAAAATCCCCCAACCAAACACAGCCTTAGTAGAATTGGAAGAAAGTAATATGATAATCCATTTGGTTGCCCACAAAAAAATAAAAATAAAAATACATAAAAGGGTTATAACGAAGAGAAATGAAATTTGGGATTCTTGTTTTTATGTTGTTTCGACTTTTAGAAACTCACTCAACAAAAACAATTAAATTTATTATGTCAGTTGAGTAGGGAATCTTCCATTATCAGGTCTCCCTTAATAGAATGAATGAAAAGAATGACTATAAGATCAATTCATCTGGCTTTCAGTTTAGCTATAAAAAAAATTAAAATTAAAATTAAAAAAATTAAAATAAAAAAAAAAAAAGAGAAGAAGGGAGAAAAAAAAAAGATTAATAGCGAAAATACAAAAACAAACAAAAAAACCTATGTAGCAGTTTCAACAATATACTGCCAAACATGCCTATGCATCATTTCCAATTATTTGAGTATTGAAGAACTTTAAAGTTTTTGAGAGTATAGCAATTAGCAAATGTCTCCTAAATCTAGAATCATCTGTTTGGTATTGTCTTTGAAAATTATTTTGTATTCTTAAAAACAAAGAAAATGAAAGCAACATAGTACATGTTTGACCAACTGCTTTCAAATACTCTATCTGATATTCTTAATAATAACCCATTTCAGAAAACCATACTGTATGATAACTTCCAAACATTTAGGTTCATAAAAGATTAATCATGATTTTAAAATTACTGCAATCAGAATATGAAAACCAAGAAGAAAATGAAAAAATAAATAAATAAATACATGTTTGACCAAACTGTTTTTAACGTAAAGGGTTCAGTTTGAAGTCCTCTACATTTTCTCAGTAACCAATCAAAGCCAAAACTAAAATGTCTAGCACAAACCATGCCTTAACAAGTGGAATGCAAAGGGAAAAGCACACCAAAAAAAAAAGAAGGTAAAAAAAAAAAAAAAAAAAAAGGGGTAAATTATATGTTTGGCTGCTAAAAAACTGTAGAAGAAACGAAAAGGAAAAAGCAAATTTTTGAATCATGAATGTTATTTGTCAACCTATTTTGAATCCCATTAAATAAAAAATCAAAAAAAAAAATTTCTTTCCCAATCTTTTTAATTTCCCAGTGCTTCCAACAAACCAAACAGTAAAAAAATAGATAAATACCAGTGGAAAGAACGCCGGGGACTCGAGAGAGGTGAGGCATGTCGGTGGGGATTGATTGGACGAGCCATGCTTTGCACTCTGAATTTGAATCTGGGGAGGAGTGAGAGAGAGGTATTAGAGAGAGAGTATTGATTATGAGGAGAAGAGAGAGAGTGACTCTAATTAGTTTCATCTTTTCAAATTTTGCACTCTCACTCTTCTTCTGTATGAATACAAACATATATATATCTATTGGGCAGCTTGTCTCCAGACTCCGGTCGATATTGTTGAATTCGTGGAATTCATGAACAGTGTTATTTTGATAATTTAAATTATTTAATATATTATTTTTGTAAAAAATTATATTGATTGTATATTAATAATTATTTGATCAGATTAAATTTTTGTCAATAATTTATTTTAAAAATTATATTTACCGTTTACAAAAATATGATCCGATCAAGTAGTTATCGATATCTAATCAATGTGATTTTTTACGGGGATTTGGTGATAGCCCCTCACTATCTAATTTGTCTTTCAAAAGGACAAAAATTATATAAGTACTTTCAAAACCCCCTGATATTTTAAAACTTGTTTCTTTTACTATATTACCCTCATATCTATCAGCTCTTCTATTAAGTCATCTTCACTATGTATTTCAGAGTAAAATTTTACTTTGATACAGAGTAAAATTTTACTTTAGTTTCAGAGTAAAATTTTACTTTCATACAGAGTAAAATTTTACTTTAGTTTTAGAGTGTAAAATTTTACTTTCATACAGAGTAAAATTTTACTTTCATACAGAGTAAAATTTTACTTTAGTTTCAGAGTGTAAAATTTTACTTTCATACAGAGTAAAATTTTACTCTGGTTCTGTCAAGTGAAAAAAACAGAGCAAAATGAAATTAGATCAAAAACAACAAAAATAAATCAAAAAAAAAACAAACAAACAAAAACAAAATAAATTGATCAACAAATCAACATATCTAATTGAGAAGAAACACTTCTAAAACTCCATCAACAATCACAAATCTCAATGAAAATAATACATATGTTCAACAACACTCATACACACAAATATATATATATATATATATACATATATTCTACTGTTCCTCATCCACATCCTTCCCAACCTTCTGTTCAACTTCTTTCAATCTCGAAGCTTCAGCCTTCGCATTCAACATCGCAAGCATCTCATCAACAACCTCATCATGTTTCTTCTCCGCTTCCAATTGAGCCATCTCCACCACACTCCGAATCTTCCCCATCTGCTTCGAAACCCTAGCTTTCAAATCTCCAAAGAGCTTATTCAGATCTTGAGACAAAGAGCTTATTCCTTAGGTGCAAACAACGAAGCCATTGATTGAGGATGAACTTTTGCTATTTTGATCTTCTTATTGTTTCTATGGAGGCATTTGCTACCAGATCTGGTCACTCCGACCAGATCTCCTTTGAAGCCCTAGCCATGGAGTCATCATCTATGTATATGCAATAGTTGTATCAGACGAAGCTTGAGAGATTGAGATTGTGATTAGGGAAGATTTAATTGAGGGTATAATAGTCTGATAAAATATTTAAATAATAAATTTTGTCCTTTATATAAGACTTTATAATTATGAGGGGGTTTTAAAAGTATAATTTTTTTCTTAGTCTTTTTAACAATAAAAGGAAGATAAGGGGGGTTTATAGCCAAATTTCCCATTTTTTACAGGGATAAAGTACTCGACGAGTTCTACATATTAAACGATTCAAATTATCAAAACATGACTCTATGGTGGGTCTCCACAAGCCCAACAACACCCTTCAGTCCGATCACAAATTGGAGATAAATCTAGTCCTATTTATATAAGAATCGTTTAGTTGCTTGTGGTTCTTCTTTTCTTTCTGATTTTATCCTTTCATTTTGAATAATTTACTACTGGTGGTCTATATGTTGAGTGTAGGTTTTTTAGTAATTATGCAAACATTGTTGGTCAGTTATGCAATAGGTTTTTTTGTAATTACACGAACATTCTTAATCAATCATGAAACAGGTTTCACAAACATTCTTCGTCAATTAGAATCAGTGTTACTATTAGCACCCCATCAATTATTTTAAACCCCCATTATTTTGCTTTTTTTTATTACAATAATAACTTCAGATGAAATTACTACATAGGGCATCAATAATTTTGGGACACCCTATCTCACAATTAAACTCACACACCTACTACATCATGAGTTAGGGTTTATGAGAGCACACACATCTATCTCCTCCCATCAATCTTTTCCAAATCTCACCTTCAAAACCTACCGCTCTCAAAATCTTGAAAATCTTTTGGTGACAATATTCTAAGGTAACGGTGACAACCATTTGATTACCCATACTTCTCCGGCAATGACAATGAGTGAGACGAGAGAATTACAACAATAAAAATTCAGAGGGGGTTCATAACCTTGATATAGTATTCTTAACTCAAATGAGATTAGTCTTATCAGAGTAAATTTCTTGAAAAAAATTATAAAAATAATAAAAATTGTTCGTTATTTTTTCGAGACTGAACTCCCGAATATGTGATCGAAATTCGAAAACACAAGTCCGAACATTATTTATTTGTTCGAAAATAAGTAACCGAACATTTATTTTCTCAAGTCACAAACAAGAATGTGGAGATGAAATAATAATCACTTTCGTGAATTTTATTAAGGTTTTTGGGGGAGAGCTTTTTGACGTATGGGGATATAATTGAATGGATTAAATATTTTCGTAAGAATAATTTTGATATTATTTAAGAGGAGAAAATAAATTTTAAGAATTTTAGAATTTTAAGAGTTTTGAATTAAAAAACTTATTTTGTCTTTCGCGACTAAAATAATCACAAAAATCTAGCATTCCAAAGGAAGGCATAATAAGTTTAGAGTCATCCTAAGTAATCACTGAAAAGTTACTTTAGAATTTCAAAATTCGTCGAAGTGCACCCCAAAACTCAGCTAACAAACTTGAACAAGAATTTTAACCTGGTTGAAATGCCAGAATTTGATTTAACCTGCATCATTCTTGAGGACAGTTCAATCATCAATGGACAAGAATGGGAAAAAAATAAGCTCAATGAACCACAATTATTATTTATTAGTTTCTAATAAACTAACTAAAATTGATACTAATATATATGGATAGTGATAATAATGTTACAATTGAGACCAACAGATGCAAGAAAGCTAAAACCAGAAACTGGACCACAATTATCTGCAAAGTCAAAGATTCTCTTTTCTCTCTACTTTTTGCACATCTTTTCGTAATTAGCCAAAAAGTTATTCCAAACATACAAGTTTTTTTTACCTACCTTTTTAGCCAAATAGCCAAAAAGTTACTAAATTAGCCTGTTCCCAAACGAGGCCTAATATATATGGATAGTGATAATAATGTTACAATTGAGACCAACAGATGCAAGAAAGCTAAAACCAGAAACTGGACCACAATTATCTGCATCAAAACTAAAATTGCCTACAACTTTTTACACTTGAATCTACTTTTTCTTGTTCAGTTTAAACAGACCAGATTACCCGTTTTATGAGACAGAATACCTCCTGTTTCTTGACGATGAACCGGAGGACTTGATCGCCCCTTGAATCATTGAAGTCGGGCTCTGAGAACTACCAGATGTCTCAGAGCTCTGATTCTCTCCATGTCCATGCCCATGCCCATGCCCATGCCCTTTCCCAACTACCCACAGCTTATCAAAGATCCTCCGTGACCGAGACGGCCTCAAGTGCACTCCACTTCCTCCATTTTTGCTACCCATCTTCATCGACTTCCCCTTTTTGGGTAAATCCGCGTCTGTCATCTTCATTTGACTCATCAGTTTCCTAGTCGATTTTCCCTCATCTGGCAAAGTCTTCTCCCAATCTTCTTCTTCAGTGTTGGTGGTAACAGAAGATCGAGCCCCGGCAGCTGCTCTTACCTGCTCGAAAAACAGAACTTGCACCACGACTCGGAGTGGGAGGAGCTCATTCTGTGCTGCCTGCATGGATGCATCCATTGTCAATTTCTTGACGTCCATCAGCCCGCATATCTTCTTCCTTTCAGCTTTTGTCAAGTTTGTGTGCTCCTGAACACATAATAATCGATCATTAGCGTATATCTTAACTTGTATTCAAAGCAATCAGATTCATTCATCATTTTATATATGTCTTCATAGGAATTACACCTGTAGATGAATTTAGCAAGGTTATTTTACTCATTAAAAGTTATAGTTTCAATTAAAAAGGCACACCTTCAGATAGATGGCTATAGCTCTGTACAACCCATCATGAATTGGTCTGGCTGACTCGGGAATTGACTGTGACAAGAGAACGAAACTTGAGAGAGTAAGATTTGGATCCCGAGCAATTTCTGTAAGATACCCATCAATCAGTTTACCAACATTCAACGAGGACCCCTGCCCTAAAACAAAATCACCAGCAATTTTGTCATTCTTCTCAGCAATCATAAATTGATTTACAAGGGACTGCACAAGTTCAACATCATATTTGGTCACTTGGGGAGTCTTTGCTGGAATCAATAGATCGTTAACAGAAGCCTCGTCCAACCTCAAACTGATCCTCTTTACCAAATCTTCCCTCGGCGAATCATCTGCTCCAACCAGAATGGCAAATTTCAATAATTTGAGCAAAAAACTACATGAACAACCCCCGCCTATATCAGAAGGCAATAAGCAAACTATTGTTTCAACCAAAGATTTGTTTCTCGTATTATTAACTTCAGAAGCCAAAGTATCAACAGAAGGCAACCACCTCATTACATAAGTCTTTAGCGCCTCCCCAATCACATTCCCATCCATTCTTCCCTTTGATCTCACGGCAATCATAATGCGCTTGTAAAGGTCAACATCAAGTTCGCATATATCTTCAACCCACCAATCCTTCGGAAAATATTCAACTCTTTCCGTGAATTTCATCCCATTCTCAACTATCCTATCCGGCACCAATAACTTCCGGTTATAAGTATAAGACCAGGTGATATTAGATGGGTCCACTGAAGTTTTAGACGCAATGGAATCTATACATCTCCCAACCACCTTCAGATCTTCGGACCATGGAAGAAGAGGTTTGGTGGTTTTCAGAACAATAATGGAGTCTTTCCAGCTACGGAAAACACTGGAGTTGAGAAATACGTCGATTTTGAAAATCAGGTTTCCTCGGTCAACATTCTCAGTCATTTCAAGGTACTCTGCTGCACAACGGGCAGCCACAACATTGTATGCATTGAGAGTGACAGTCATTCCATAGCAAAATTTAGCGCAAATTTCAAAAGCTTTTGGCCCACTGGGAAAGTTGGCTAAATGAATTTCATCAGAACTTTCCTCATTGGCTTTTTGCATGAGTTTTTGTAAGCGATTGCTCTTGGACAAGAGAGGGAACTGCAAACATAGATTAAGAATCATGAGTTTATTTTTGTACTAATCAAGATGTATACTACCCGAACAGTTTATTTCTAGGTGGATGTAAATCCACACATTCTTAGGAATATTTCTGAGTGAAAAGTTCCACCAATTTGGATGAGTTCATAATTAGATACAGCATAAAACATACAAACAAAATCAAACAGCTTAATTCATCCCATGAAAAATTCTAAGGGCATACCTTGTGAAGGTAAAACTTCACTTCACCAACATTTATGATAATATCTGTTGCCAGTTCAGATGACACATACCTGAAAGGATAGATGTATTAGCATACGTAATCACAATGACTGAAAAATTAACTTGTGAGTGGGAAGCACTCGTCAAACACAAGACAGTGCAGCGATTGGAGTGAAATGTACTGCGATATAATGCTGTTGAAAATGTGGCCAACAGGCACATTTGATGAAGGGGCAAATGTATTCTAGATTTTTCTTTCAGATTGGCTTAGAGTACCACTAATGAATAAATATTATGTTGCAATACAATGTTATATTATATATACAAGCAGACATAAAGAAGAAACCTTAGACAATTCAGCAAGAAAATTAGCTTCCAATGTCCGCAGATGCAATGTGATCATTAGATAAATGCGGACAAAACTGCCCACATGCAAACTAAGTCCATGAGACATTATAGTCAACAAGTCAATCAAATATTTGTTCACTATTTGTCTCTTAGCTACTTTCTCTGTGTACAAAAAAATGAGTGAGTTTTGCAATTGCTGAATGATACAACTACCATGATAATTCTTTAACAAAGCAATGCCACTAAGAACAACATTTTAAGACATATATTACTATAATTCAAAATTGCGGTAGCTAAGATCCCTACCCCCCAAAGAACAAATAGTGTAGATTAGGCATTTTATCTAACATGTTGACAACAAATGCACTAGCTATCAAATAACTATGAGTTCTCTAGCATCAAGAAGTTCATTTTTAAAATGGCCAAATTTATTGGTGCAACTAAAAACAAAGGTCAAAATTCATTTAAAAATAAATTGACAGAAGATATCAATGCTAACAAGCAACAACTAAAAGGCAGGCCCAAAGCCTCATACTTTTGGACTTCGAGACTCTAAATTTCCTAGTGTCTTTTAGCCTAGTTCATCTACATGAGCACTATCATTGCAAGGCCATTCAAAAATCCCCATCAATGCACCCAACCAGACAAGCTAACCTACAGTGACAGGCATTCTCTCTTCAATAAGCGAACTAACCACCAACCAACCTAATTTTGTTTTAGCTCATCATTTAAGCACAAACACTAAACATAGCATAAATGGGAGAGGGGATGACACAAAAAAGATAGGGACCACCTGAGATATATATTATGGTAGTAATTAACTCAAGCAATTCATCATCAAAACCATATGCGCTACAAGATTTCTGACAGGCATTCTCTCTTCAATAAGCAAACTAACCACCAACCTAATTTTATTTTAGCTCATCATTTAAGCACAAACACCAAGCATAAATGGGAGAGGATGACACAAAAAAGATAGGGACCACCTGAGATCTATATTATGGTAGTAATTAACTCAAGCAATTCATCATCAAAACCATATGCACTACAAGATTTCTATAGGGATTTAACAACCCAATATAATGTTATATACTGAAATTTGTGCTTATGTTTAACCCTTGCTTGGCAATAACATAGTACAATGGTAGGTGCCAGAATGAACGTTATCCATTACAGGAAGAATAGTAATATACTCTGGTAATTAAAGGTCTAGGCCATCAGGCCCATCTCATATGACTTTACCACAACTGGACCAGCAACTTATCAAAATCAGTACAGTTCAACTCCTGGACCACCTCATACTATACACAACCCCACCAAGAGAAGATATAAACACATACAAAAATGGTAATATAAGCTCTTATTTTCAACCCATTCTTGACTTGTATTCACAGCTAACAACATAAAAGCACTTTCCAGTTACAAATTCATCTTCCTATATATATTCAGTTAAAACAAAGAAGAAGAAAAAAAAACTCAATTTCTGAAAAATTATGGAAGGAAGAAAAAAAAAATGAATGGTATATAATTCTTACAAAGAACACATATGAAGAAGGATCCAAATTTATATATATACATATATATATATATATATAGAGAGAGAGAGAGAGAGAGAGAGCATAAGAACTCGATAGAAGGTGAAAGGAAGCACAAAAACCAGAAAGGAAGACAGCAAAGAAGAGTTGAGATGTAAATTGTGTTTGTTTATATGAAACAGAACAATATAATAAAAACCGACATTCCAAATAAAATCAAGGTATCAAATAAAGCAAAACAGAGTCAAGTACAGAGGTAAATTTTTGTTTGTTTGTTTGTTTGTTTGCATGAAACAGAACAATAATGATATAACTGGAAACCAACTTACCTGATAGAATTGCCTTCAGCTCGGAACGCATCTGGCTTCGACCCCAACTTCATAAACTTCATTTTCTCCCCAAAACACCCTCTACAATCCCACGAAAATACCACAACAAATTCTCTCTCACCCAATGAACTACTTCACAAAACCTCAAAAAGACCTTCAAGCCTTAAACCCAACACTACCCACAACTTTCAGACTCTTTTCTCTGAAGAATTCGCAGGAACAGAGACAAGGCCATTACCAAACTCTCTCTCTCTCTCTCTATAAAACAAAAACACATTCTTCAAACAAACAAAGACGGGACAAGCACAGAGTCCAGATCCCCTCCTTGAGCCCCCTCCTTCATTCCCTCCTTGCAGGGGCTTTCGGGTCCACTTTGAGGCCTACTTTTAATAATCCGAACCGTTCATATTTTTAGATTTATTCAGTATATTATACCTGTAAAAAATCAAGTTGATCGGATATCAGAAAGTATGCGTTCAGAAAATTGGGACTACAAACTATTTTTTAATAAATAATTTTCCGAACACATACTTTATGATATTCGATCAACTTGATTTTTTACAGGTATGATATACTAAATAAATCTAAAAATATGAACGGTTTGGATTATCAAAACTGGGCCTCAAAGTGGACCCGAAGGCCCTTACAAGGAGGGAATGAAGGAGGGGCCTCAAGGGGAGGATCCCAATTCACAAGGACAAGGCATCATCAAAGATGAGACAGCCTCTCTCTGCAATCCACATCAGGCACAGTAGCCTCGAGACTGGAGCCAAAATTCAATGCCCATATTGAAATTTCCAAAGAAGTGGCCTTTCCTTTTATGATGATGATGATGACATTGATGATGCCATATTACAATTATACACAACAACAACAACCCAATTTGTATTTATTAGTATTAGCTGGATTAAACACACACAAACCCAAGTCTTGAATCTCGCCGCCTTTGCTTTTAATTGACCCCCCTGATCCGCCAAGATCTCATAGAGTTCCAAATCTCGAGATATCTCTCTCTCTCTCTCTATCTCTATATATATATATATATATTTCTTTTTCTCTCTCTACATGTAATAGGTGATGAATGTTGATGATTTTGCCTTCTCCTTCTGTAGTTGTCTCTCAAGTATATCTCTGAATTTTGCAGCAAGAGGAGAGAGAGAGTGTATTGTAGTGTAGTATAGTGTACAGAGTGGTCTCACATTGGCAGACTTTTTAAGGAGTTTTTAAAGCACGCCATACTATTAAATGACTATTTTGGCACTTAATAATGATTCAGCTCATTAAAAATATCATCACTAATAATATTAATGTATTAAAAAAAAATAAAAAAATATAATTTCAAGACTAAAACATCACATCATTAATGACAGAATCCACTATCACCTAATTAGTGGAACACTAATTAGTGCTCCCAAAAGCATTTTTCTTTTGGCACTCGTGATTCTCTTTATATTCTGTGATGCCCCGTCACGGGAGGGTTGAGCGGGTAGAGATTACGCGCGGGGCCCTTTTGTCTTTTTGACTTGTTTTGAAAAGTGATTTAAAAAAAAAAAAAAATTAAAAAGTGACTATCTTAGGCACCGTTTGGGAAGTAAGTTTATAGACTTTTTTTGGCTATTTTAGCCACAAAAAATAAAATAAGCTATTTTAGCCATAACAAACAAAATATCACATCCAACCTATAATCATTACACTCTTCTCTCACAAAAAAAATCAAAAAAGTCAAAAAAGTCAAAAAGCTAAAAAGTCCTTCCCAAACCAAGTTTTTTAGCCCAAGCTAAAATAGTCAAAAAAGTCAAAAAGCCAAAAAGCCAACCCACTTCCCAAACGGAGGCTAAAGTGATATTATTTTATTTAAGTTATATCACTTTTTGAATACATTACTTTAAATTTAACTCAAACTTAACTTATATTTCATAAAAAATTAAAAAATACACTTATTTAGATCATCTCAAATAATTTTTAAAAATCTACTTTTTAATTTTTCTAAAAAAAATATTATGCGTTGCAAATTTTCTATTAAATAAACGATTGAATGTCTTATATAGGTGAAAAGTTTATAAAATTACGAATTCTACACATATGTGAGATATTTTATTATTTATTTAATAAAAAATTTGATACTATCTTTAATTTTTTTTTGAACTTTTTAATAAATATATAAAAAAAATAAAGAGACGATGTGATGAATAATTATCAAACACCTATGGATCTACTCGAAAAAAATTGATTAAAGCCACTTTTGTCATCTAAATTTAAAAAAAAAAAATTAATTAATTTTTTTTAAATCATACCATTTTTTTATTTTTTTTTTTAAAAACAAAAAAAACTTAACTTTTAGGCTTCGTTTGGATACATGCTTTTTAGTACTCTCCTCCATTCCAAAATAATGGTCCCTTTTGAGGAATTTAATTTTTTTTGATAGTACAATTATTGTACTTTAAAAAAATAATTTTCTAAAATTACTCTGATAATACATTTTTTTGAAGAATATCAATGTCATAATTGTAGTTTTTGTATTGTTTATGAATTTAAAAGAATGGCAAAATAAAAAATTTATATTATTTTTTTACTTACTTTTTGAAAAGGAACTAATATTTTTGGATAATAAAAATTGGAATAAATGACTAATATTTTGGGAAGGATGGAATAACTTTTTGACTTTTTAATTAAAATATGATATTAAAAAATTAGTACGTTTAGAATGACTTTTAAATTTTTGATGAAAAGATGTGTAAAAAATAAAAATAAAAATTGACTTTTTAATATAGATGGTTGACTCTTTAATTTTTTTTTATGACTTTTTAACTTTTTAATATAAATTTTTAATTTTTTAATTTTTTTAATCACTTTTTAACTTAAAAAAAAAGGTCATTTGCCAAACTATAGGCCTAAATTCTACACCTGTTCTCGTTTCTACCACCCATCAAATGTCAAATCTCCAACTTGTCCTCTCATGACTTAACGTAACGTTTCTATTCCTTCCACTCATTATAACATTTGGTCTGATATTCTTTTTTTTATATTTATATTTAATTTGGATTTATTTTTTAAATTTAAGAAGTGGTTTAGAAAAAAAAAAAAAAAAAAAAATGAACATAATTTATATATATTTAAAAAATAAAATATTTATAATTTTTTTAAAAGAAAATTCAATAAATATTTTACTTTTTAAGGGCTAGTTTGGCATGTACTAAATAAGTCAAAAAGTTAAAAAGTCACTATCTTATTTAAGTCACATCATCTTATTTAAATCACATCATCTTATTTAAATCACATTACCTCTCTAACACATCACATCAAACCCAATCCAAACCCAACCCAAACCCACGTCAAAAAGTGCACTTTTTTAGGACATCCCAAACCAACCCTAAATACGGAGAAAAATAAAGAAATATAGGCACTGTTTGAGAAGAAGGTTTGTAGTTTTTTTTGGCTATTTTAGTTACAAAAGATAAAATAGGCTATTTTAGTCACAATCAACAAAACATCACATCCAATCCATAATCATTATACTTTTCTTTCACAAAAGTCAAAAAAGTCAAAAAGTCATTCCCAAAAGCTTTTTAACCCAAGTTAAAATAGTCAAAAAAATCAAAAAGTCAAAAAGTCAATCCACTTTCCAAACCAACCCATAGCATGAGTAAAAAAAATTTAAAAAGTACATTGAGGCCAAGTTTGGCATCTCCCTACAAAATCAAAAAATCAGTCAAAAAACTAAAAAGTTATCACTGTTTATAAAAAAAAATAATAATAATTTTTCAAGCCAAAGTACAACTAAGCAATCACAGCAATCACTGCTCTGTGCTGTGCTGCGTGTGGATGAACAAATCTGAATAGATTGGGTGCAATTGGACACACTGCTGTTTGATTCATTGGGGCCCATCACGAGTCTCGTTTTGATAATCTGAACCGTTCAATATGTAGAACTCGTCGAGTACTGTTTGTCTATAAAAAATTACATTGATCGGATATCGATAATTATATGATCAAATCAGTTTTGTATAAAAAAAAGGATGGCATTATATTAACGATTGAAAAAAAAAGTCTGATCAGATAGCTATCGATATCCGATGAGCATGATTTTTTATGGGCACATAGTACTCGACGAGTTTTACACATTGAACGGCCCAGATTATCAAAATAGGATCCGTGATGACCCCCACGGACTGAACAAAACCGTCAAGTGCAATGTCCAAAAAGTAGCCAATAATTTCTTACCACCAATTTGGCTCCACAGATTGTACTGCTGTTGACTTTTTATTTCTAATCTTCTTTTACACATTTCTTTATATAATTTTTTGATACACATTTTTTCATAAAAAGTCAAAAAATTAACCTAAATATTCATATTTTTTTTCTCAACTTTTTAATCTAAAAAAATAAAAATTACATTTATTTAAGGCATCCCAAACAAATCCGGAATAGAATTCATCTATTATTTATCAAAAAGGTTGCAGTTCAAAAAGTCGTTAATAAAAAAATACATGGCTTAAAATATTTTTACATTTTTTAATGAAAAATGCTTGGGAGCCACTAATTAGTGCTCCCACTAATTAGGTGGCAGTGGGTCCTGCCATTAATGATGTGATGTTTTAGTCTTGGAGTTGTATTTTTTTTTATTTTTTTTTACTTTTTTAATGCATTAGTGCTATTAGTGGTGATGTTTTTAGTGGGATGAATCATTGTTGTTTTTTAATACATTTGTTTATAATTTTTTTAACATGAACAATCACCTTAGGCGATGTTTGACATATTATATAAGACAAAGTTAGTTATTTTAATTAAATAGGATAAAATGTCATATTCAAATTATAATTATTTTATTTTTTCTCTCATAAAAGTTAAAAAAATCAAAAAAATTATTCTAAATAAGATTTTTTAATTTCAAATTAAAATAATTAAAAAATCAAAAATTCAACCCAAAATCTAAAGGAAGGAAAATTTTAACCACCACTGCCACCAGCCTCTTCTCTGCCTTTTCTCCTTTCCATTGCAATTCTTATCCGTCACTCCCCCACCATTCCCTTTCTCGACCATCATGAGTCAGCATTTTAACTTTTTAATTTTTTAATTATTTTAATTTGACATTAAAAAGTTTTCTTTGTGATTGATTTTTAATTTTTTAAATTTTTATAAGAGAAAAAAATATAAAGATTATAAGTTAGATCATATGAAATGTTTTGTCTTATTGAATTAAAAAATTTATTTTATTTTTTTGTGACTGTTTCAACCTAAAAAAATCCCAAACCTATCTTTTCAAACATAAACAGTATGCCACTCTCCCACCATCTTCTTTCTCGGC